AGTAAACTGGTAAACACAGAAAGAGGTCATCTCGATCGGTGGCCTGTAATTCATCTGTAATAGGAGAACTGATTCGCAAGAGTAGAATATGCGCAATTCCGTTGAGAAATAACTATTTTCTACTACATTTCTCAGTCGTTTGTTCATTGTCCTCGTAAGGATGTGACCTTTGAAAAGCAATGAAATGTAAACCTTTTTCTTCCTCACTGTTGGGTCCTTTGATTTTGCAATGTAAACTCTCATACAACGATCGACAAGTTCCTCTGGGTATCCATTTTTTTTAGAAACGTTGACTTAACTATTGCCAATTCATCATTCACTCTATCGGTAGAACAAATTCTCCTTACACGATTGGTGATGCACCGGATTACGCTGAGCGTACGCTGCATTGTGGTTTAAAACGAATGCGAGTGCTGAAACATACATCATACAATGTTCTGTTCCACAATTCTGCGACAGTTCAAGGAGAAAGTCGCATCACAGTGAGCAGTGCAAAAGGATCACGATTACAGTCCTGCTTTGGCAGGACAAGAAAGACAGGTACAATTCGATTGAAAAATCGTACTGCTTGGACATATAAACAAGAGGAAAACAATGTGATAAGAGTGGAAATACGGAATGAATTAGACCTTGGATCATTTATTAACTGCTTTCAGTGTCGAGGAAAACATGAAATTCTTCGGTTATTTTACGGCAAAACATTCATCTATTTTCCAACACGACTTTTCTCACACTTTCAGTACCACTCCCAAGCTACAACTATTCAACTTGGAATGTATGGGGGTAAGGAGTCACATTCGGGTGATGATTAAGGGCGTCTTCAAGCAGTTTAAGCCGGTATCACCGGTGTGATCCTGTGCTTAAATTTTCCGATAGGTAGCGTCGCTGTCGTGCAGTTCTAAGGTGATCTGCAACTCCGAGTCACAAATCAAAGATTGCTGGTTTGTTTAAGTGAACAGTAGGTGCGGACAACTACGGAGGCCACCAAGGAGTGTAATAAAACCACCATGTCCAGTATGAAAATGTTTTACAATGTGACTAAATCACTCCGCTGTGTGAAGCGGACACATAATAGCAGCATGTGTTTACGTAAGTAAAACAACTTCGAGTCTCTAAATTTTTTACATTCAGGCGAATGCTATCTCGGGTGATAAAAGTGTGTCAAACACCTGTGAAAATACGAAGTGTTTCACGATGTTTTTCACTGTGACCGAATTGATATCGTTGGCGAATCAATGGAAAAAATAGCTTGACCAAGTCAAAATTCCAACCGAAAATACTATTGGTGATTTCAAAAGTCGAGCGTGAGTTGATACGCATGCGCAAAACACCAGCTCGCAGTGTTGTGGTAATACGATTTTATCAATCAGTTCAACAGATGACCGCCTATTGTCCCGCATCACACGCACGCACCACATTAGATCAACCTTTGTTCTACTTCAAATGCGATAAGTACATATGCGTTCAAAAATAATTGTACAGTACAATATAGTCAATTAGTTGTCGATTAACGCACGGCGAGAATGTTAGCGATGTGGAATCATGCGACAAGTGAAAGCTGGGGTTTTTCTAAAGAGAAAACTCTCACACGTAAATGCCCTGTTAAACTCCAAGACAGACAATAAGGAACAGATCGCATAATCACAATTGGCTTCGGACCAATTCAAAGAAAACTGCATCTGCGTCAACTTAGAGACTTTAGAAGAGTCTGACTGCATACTGCAAAAAATGAACAAAAATACATCAAGTATGGTATGGATGCGCGGAACGCAAAGAAACTGGTAACCACTAAACCAGTTTTAGAAAGGTTGACGTGGCCCAGCGAAAGAAACCCGTGTGCGCGTTCCATTCTGATAACACAAAATCAAATAATTCAACTGTAAACAAATGCAGAAGAAATATGGATGTGCGCATCATCAGAAACAATAGCAGCATCGCTAGAACGTTTGAAATGAAGACGATGCCTTCGTGATGAAACACAAACACGCAGAGATACAGTTATAGAGAGAAGTACGATCTGAGTGAGAAAATTTCGGTCGCGTAAGATGACGAGCTTATTCAACGCTTGATCAAACAAATGTGATACTATGTGCGTATGGAATTAGAAGTTAAGAGCTACAGAACCGCAATCATGTCACGCGGATATTTATAACGAACATCCGCAATCGATTACGAAGAGCATGTGTACGGGGAAATTGTCGTTCTATGAGCGTTATTACCACAGATAGAATGAGTGATAAAACAAGTTGGCGGCAGAAAAGAGATAAGTACCAACAGTGATTACCCTCGATCCATAGTGATCAGGAAATGATTGTTATATCCAATCCGGCGTTCAAAGATTATATATATTCGAATCTATACGGGTACTGCGATAAAGTAACCGTGAGTTAAAAGACCAGAAAAAAACGAAACAACCGGAGCGGAGGATGACGGAACCCTTTATGTCTACTGCATGCAATTTTCAAATGTTTTATCATTTTATAATTGTAAACATCTACAGATGCATTCACATCAGGGATTCGGATTCGATACTATATCCCGTAGGATCTCTAGTTGACGACAATATGAATCTTTGGGGCCCACCAATGGGGGCCGGTAAACCAGATCTAAACTCGCTCCACGGAAGGCTAACTGCCTCCTTACACACGTCGTTTGACCTCGTTGTTACTTACGCGTTGCTCCAACTACACGCGGGCGATACTACGCAGACAACGGTTGTCGAAAATAGTCGTTCGTCATGTTATGTTCGGAGAGTTTGGTAACCATTGAGTAACAGGACATGTACCGCTCCACTATAAATACGTGATTTCTATGATAGGGATCTGCAGTACCGGTATTAGAGATGCTAAAAATTAACAAATGTCAATCTTACTTTGATTACGCGTTGAGGGATCTCCTCGCCTACACCTTCTTCAGCCATTATGCATCTCCTGAGACAGGTTCCAGCCAATATTGTACATGCACCTTACAATTGTGAGGGTGCGAAGCACATCAGATATATATTCTATATTTTCACACACATCTGAATCCAGACTGTGTGCTAAATAAATCATGGTACAATAATCTTTATGAAGAAGAAAGACGTTCCATAATTTGAATGTGGGCGGAATACCGCCAGGTTGCCCAGGTCAAGACAGGTGAAGTGTCTTGAGGAATCCACAACCGGAGCCTTCGGCTAGCCAAAGCCGGACCCGCAATGCAGCGGGGCGGTGTGCGAAAACCGCAATCAACTGGGGGCTGGTGTCCAGTTCATCGGATCATTCGCCCTTTAGACGGGGTCAAACGTCCAAGGTGCCCAATACACCTCGATACCTAATCGAACCGGTGACCACAACCGGGGAGGTATGTGTGGTTCGTACGCCTCCTGTTGGTTGGTTTAGAATCCGTTTTTAGCCGACTGCTTTAGGTGAACCACCAGTGGTCCACTAACCCGGTTATAGCCCTGGATATCACATAGAGCAACCTGCAATACGAATTGGTTTATCCTGCTTGTATCACCTAAACATTATTACAGAGTAAGACGAAATCATTATCATGCTCCAAGTCTACGACTCTGTTTCTCGGAATAAGCTCAAATCCAGAGTTCGTCAAGTTCAAGGTATGGTGAAATTTAAGAGAAACGGAGAAACAAGGCAACCCTTTTTACCCCATTAGAAACAGGCGGCGACGGCGATTGATGGAGTCGAAGGCCGCTGTGATCTCCCACTAAAAATCACGACAACATTCTGTTGCCCATATTTGCGGCAGTATTCCGGCAACTGACGGAGGGTTAATGTTTGATTTACGTAGCTGCAGTTTGCAGGAAACTCGGTCTGCTCTTCACAGATTTGTCTCTCACGAATCGGACTCAATCTGCATAATCAAACAGATGCTATCAGAATTGTACCCCAGTGAATGGAACAAACATTGCGTCGGACCTACCGGTAAACACGTGTAACAATCGACTCTCCCCATGCAAGAAATCTAATTTCTTCCTCCCATATCTCCGATAAGTGTTCTAAGCCCTATTACGAGGACTTCTCCGCCAGCAGTTCAGGATCTTCCGGGGATGGTCAGGACAGCCGGTGTTCGTGACTGTATTGTTCATCTTTTCTACTACTCATAACACAACGGCGTGTGATAAAATAGTCAAAAATCGTCGTTGGGGTATGCTTACCACGTGATATAATGTTGTTTGAGTTATCACACTCAGATACTTGAATGACTTCCACTTGATGAAAATGATTCGTAGTAGCACACGCTTACTCCGGAAAACTACTCGACTTTTTAATACGAATTTGTAGCCCGGATGCTGATTAACGTACTCAACAGTCTACAGGTCAATAATCAAACATCCTAGTTCAGAGTAATTATTGTTTTGTAGACTCGGGCATTAGATTTAACCTGTACCGATATCGGAGTACATGTATTATTGTTGTACATCCCGGTCTCTGTATCTTCCCTTAAGTTTACTTTACTCCGCATATGTTCAATACATTTCAGTTATAGTTGAATTCATCTAATGATCAAAAAAGAACGGTAGAAAGCCATTTTGTTCTCGAAGTTGCATGGATTGTGAATCCCTCAAGAAAATTCTCCTGCTGTGGCATGGTCGACATGGAAATATTCCACCAGAAGCAAAATCATGGACTAATTATTTTATAGGGATTGTTGCACCGTGATTTATTTGGCATACAGACTGCACCCGAATGTGTGAAGCATTATATGGCGGAAAAAATTCGGAGAAAAGGTGAGTGAACAGGAACAAAAGCGAGGAATCATAAAACGTAACTGGAGTGGGAATTCATTGTTAAACAATATTCATTCATGATGAATCAATTCAATGTGATCACGTATGCATATACTAATGCTTACTTTGATATTTTATCTTTCACTTTATTTTATTAAATATAGAATAACGCATTTTTATTCGCACAAAGCATCATGAAGATAGGGCACTTCCAGCGGAAATCAGATAAAGGCAATGCGAGTCAAATTAAAGAGGGAAGGAAAGGAAACAACTAATAGCTATGACACTCACCCCGCCAAGTTTTGATTTGGTGATTTTCTAACTCGGTCATCGGACTGTTTGGAGACCGATAATACTGGTGCAATATTCGGATGAAGTCCGTGATTGTCAGCATACCAACGTGACGTTGCTTATCCGAGTCCCAAAGGATTGCAACCCGCACGCCGTTGTATACCAGCGCAAAGAACGCTTTTTTTACCTAAAAGCATGAGTCATCATTTAGGAGGTAGACTGTTATTATTGGCATGCATGAATATCAATTGTTAAACACTGTAACAAACAGTAAAAGAGACGGTAAAAGAACGAGAAAAAACATCAGTCTGGAGCTGAAATAGTGCAGGCTTACATTGAGCGTTACATCGAATACGACCAGTTTGGCACTGAGTGGAATCAAATCGTAACATGTGTGGCGTTTCAAAAATACACAATACGATTTATCCGGATCAGCTGAAAGACGTAAAATAAAGCAAAAAGATACAAGTGAACAACATCATAACAATGAGATATAGTGAAGCGAACTTCAGTTAACACCACCAACCTTACAATGCGCCCTAATTACGCATGTGTAGGACAGAAACAGAGTAGGCCTATTTTGAGAGGCGAGCAATGAAAATGATGCCAAACGGGCAACATGGAGAGCAGACAGTCTAACTGTAGATTCTAGTATGAAAAAATAACGACAAAAACGCCACGGCTGTTAGATTGCTGCCAATTTATTCTGTCCCCAACCAACCACTTACAAAATACTTTGGATCCTAATTTAGAATACCGGATACATTCGCTACCAAATTTATCTGTCTAGTTCCTCGCGCTTCACCACGACATCCGTTAATCCTTACATCATCATCGTACAGCGAGAAATAGTGAAGTGAACTTCACTGATCGCTGCCAAGCCTACAATGTACACAAATCAAGTGATAAAGCACAAGATGGAGGGATTGGGTCTACTTGGAGGGAGGCAAAGAAAAGGAACCTTAATGGTCAACACACAGAGTACACAAACTAAGTGTGCATACATAACTTTTCAAGCATTCAGACCTGATAAAAAAGACAACAAGAACGCCACTGCTGTCGGTCAGCCGCCATATCCTTCAGTGTCTCCAGCCAGCCAGTTGCATAGTTTTTCGAACCCCAACCTGGAAGACGGGAGACACCGATTCTATTTAATCGCTCTGTGCATTTCTTCATGCCTCACTTCCACGTCATCTGTTGACCTCCAAGTGGTTTCTTCCAACCTGGAGCCGCAACTGAGAAAAAGGCGCGGTGCGGCAGACGATGGCTGGGCATGCGCAATACGTGTCTTGGTCAGCGAAACCGACTAATCTGAATTCGATGGGACAACGAACTGACCGCACAGTCTATGGAAACAGCCCTATCCTCGTGCGAGGATAGTGGCGTCGATTTACTCCCAAGTGGCAGGCTGTCTCATCTACAGGACGCAGACGACATTGTGCTGCTAAGTGAAGATCCAGGTAAGTTGCAAGCTTTGCTGGACAACTTGAATGCCAGTGTAACCATATTCGGTATGCGTTTTGCACCTTCAAAGTGTAAAATGTTGCTATAAGACTCGGTTGGTCCAGCATCCAGTCGCACTCTAACTGGGGAAGCAATAGAGAAGGTGGATAAGTTTTGCTATTTTGGCAGCTACATCTCACCCGATGGAGGAATCACGCATGAAGTGTCAGCTCGCGTACAGAAGGCTCAGCTGGCATTTGCTAACTTGAGACATCTGTGGCGCCGTCGCGACATCCGGCTGTCTGTGAAGGGTCGAGTGTATGCCGCGACAGTTCGGCCAGTTCTGCTATACGGTGCAGAAACTTGGTCATTAAGAAAACAAGATCTGGTGGAATAGCCGGATGAGCAATGCTGAGGTTAGACGTAGCGTTTTGGGTATCCGCGGTCGCCAAATGGAGCAANGGGACCTTGGGATGATCGTAACCGATGGTCAGAGACACTGAGTGATATAGCTGGGTGTCGCAAACAGTGGCGTTCGTGCATCTTCTCAATTTCTTTGCAACCTTAGACTACTGAACTTCTCCATTTTCTTTTCGACTCCACTTTTAAGTTTCCTTTCTTCTCCTATTATTCATCCAAATGGGCAGCCAAAAGACAGCCACCAAAACCGGCGCACGAATATGCGTGGTTAATGGTTGTACAAACTGAACTGAACTGAACATTGGCGCAGAATACACCACCTTTCAGTTTCGGCGAAACATCGCGTCCGCAATCAATCAATCCTGCTTAAGCTGCTCGAGCCTTGGAAATGCGGGCGGTTACTTCATTGACCATGCTGCCGTCATTTGAAACGCAGCTACCTAAGTAGGGGAAGCATTCAAGTACAGCTAAATCTTGACCATCAAGCATCAGCGCTGGGGTAGACGACACCCAGTCTTGCAGCATCACTTTGCACTTCGAAGGTGCAAAGCACATGCCGAACGGAGAGAAAGAACTTGAAAGTCTGTCCAGAGCGCATTGCGCATTCTCCATAGATTCAAACAGGCGTACCATGTCATCAGCGTACTCTAAATTGTACAGCTTTTCTCCAGTTGCCCGTTCAATACCTACGTTTTGGAGACCACTAAGTGTGTTTTCCAGTACTTCGTCTATGACGAAATTAAACAGGAATGGCGAAATAGGTCACCCTTGACGAACACCGCTCCTGGTTTCGAACGATTTACTTATCCCACCGTAGACCTTTACGCTACCAGAAGTATGCAGCTACAGCGACCGCAATAGGTTTACATACTTCCGCGGTATTCATTTGCAGAGCAGTGACCCCAGAATAACTTCACAGTCAACTGAATCAAAGGCTCCTTTTAGGTCAAGGAACACTGCGACTGTTGGCCGACGATGTGTGTGACGCCGTTCGAGGACTTGACCCGGAGTGAAGATTTGGTCGATGCACCCGCGACCTGTTCGGAATCCGGCTTGTTGTTCGCGGATATTCCCCTCTCTTAAGGGTGTCAGGCGATGAAGTATCACAGAAGTCAACACTTTTGTGATTATCGGAACTACACTAATTCCACGGTGGTTAGCGCAGTCGTTGCGTGATCCCTTCTTGAAGATCGGGACCATCAACGATTCATCCCAGGACAAAGGGATACGCTCCTCCGTCCAAATGCTGCGAAGTAAGCTAGTAATTGAGTCAACAAGAGAATCTCCGTCCACCTTTAAAAGAATAGGAAGAAACCCATCACGTCCGGCTGCCTTACCTTTCTTCAATGATTAAATGCAGCTTCGTACTTCCGATTCTGATGGGGGGGGGGCTCGCATGTTACCACCCATGGAGTTTCCGCCGCAATTGCTGGAATGACCACATTAACACTGGGCCCATTGAACTGTTCACTAAAACACTCTGTCCAGCGATCAAGTCGTTGTTCTTTATTTTTCTCCAACCTGAAGCAGAAACTGCATACAAATCCCGTTGTTTTATACAACTAGCATTCACATTGAGGCCTACTCATAACAAAACAAGGTGACAACCATACAGATGAATAGTATCACAAAATTTTATACACCCAAAGGCAACTTCAACTTTATAATCATTTTCCATTATTTGAATGCTGTCATGTGAATTACCGTCCTAGATAAAATTCAAACATAAAACAGATCGTATAGCCTCAAGTGTGTGTGGAGTTATTTAGGCACTGAATAAAGATTAAATGAATACACAGAACTGTGTGAGACACAACGAATCAAAACTAATCCCATAACACTTACTCAATGCCTCAATATGTAACGGAGATGGAGTGTCGCTGCCCTGTTTTTTTAAGAAAGTAAACAAAAAGAAACAATGAAACGATTTTATGGCAGCACTTAAAAAGGTATGAAACAACTTCCAAATTACTGACTATGTCACAGATGTCCAATAATTGAGGGTTTGGGCTTAAGCATTGAGAGGTAAAAAGCGGAATGACCTAATTCTAATACTTGCTTGAGTTATTATTCTTCACAGGTCGAATTAGTCTAGGATAACGAAAATATCAATTTTACTTAATCGTGGTTCAGCCTTAGCATTACAAAGTGAGAATAAGTTTAATTGATCTCCCTATTGTTTGGATATCCACAAAGCCGCGCAATGGATATATCTAATAAATCAAAATAATAGTCCTGTTTCCATCCTTGATATTTACTGAACTGACAATGGCACAGCCAATTTTGATGAAGGCGGCTGCGAAAAATTAAAGCGTGCAAAGAGTAGGTTCGTAAGGTATATCCTAATGTCCGAACAGAAAATGCGCAGCGTTTGAAGACAGTGACGCGAGAAAAGGAAAACTATTTTATCTAACCTCTGATACAGTATATATATAATTTCATGACAAGTAGTATATGAATAACTGGACAAGATTTCCCTGGAAGCGTACGACCGGTTTCGCGGATCTCGCCACTCGTCAGGCATGCGTATCTGACAACCTTTTGTCAGTTTACTCATATATATGTGCCCAGGAAGTGTATTTTCGTCACAATAACCTTGTTCGCAAGACTGAGTGACTTTTGGGTAGATAGCTTTCAGATTCAGTCCACTGAAGAATCAATGCTATGATTCAATGATTTTGCAAGTGGGTTAGATACTATTAGCCGCAACAAACGTGACTTGATTGTCTTCACAGAACATTTCATAATAAGTAGCATGTGAATGATTGGACAATATATATATACATAGCCGACAAGCATGGTGCCAACGCCACAGTAATAATACCAATAATGATAACAGGGTATGCGAGGATAGGGATGCATAAAAGAGTGAAAAGGTCAAACAGTTAGCCTCCGAAAGTCTCGGTATGGTCGGGGTGGGCGTCTAGGGTTGTGACTGGTCACTGTTCCTTTACACCTCGCGAAGTGCTCCTATATGAGTAAGCGTCTCAAATAAACTCTGCTGAGGAAGCCCTACTCACCGCCTTCTCGCGGCGAAGGTGTTTCCTACCAAAGTGAGAGAACGAAAAGCCAACATTCGTGGTTATAACCGGGTTGCTGAACCATTGGAAGTTCATCTAGGGGAGTTGGTTAAAAAACCTGGTTCCAAACCAACCAAGAAGAGGAGCACGAACCACACACACACCTTCCCGGATGTGGCAGTGGTCACCGGTTCAACTGGGTATCAGGGTGTATTGGGCACCCTTGATGTTTGACCCTATTCGAAGGGCGTATGATCCAATGAACTGGACACCGGCCCCCAATGGACTGCAGACTCTGAGCTCCGTCCTGTTATCTGACAGGTTTAGCTTTCTAGCCAGAGGCTTCGGGTAGAGACCCCGAGGTTATCCCTCTTCCTCGGTCAAAGCAACCGGGAAGTAACACATCCACACAACGTATGAACACATTCTACCGTGTTTTTGTTCACATGTTGTGCCACATTTGCCAGTTCTTTGGTTACGTGTTGAAATAATAATAACAATAAAAAAACAGTTACAATGGAAATTATTAGATCATTGGAATAACAAATTTTTTGTGTTAAATGTATACTTTTTGAAAGTTTTGTGTGTCAGTTTATCGTTCTTTTAATGGGGCACGGGATTTTAACAGGCAGACCGCATAGCATTCACGCCACTGACTTTTATTGTGGGCCAAATCTTTCTGAGTCTCCGACCAACGACAATCATCATCCTTCGGGTCCCAAACTGGAAGGCGGTTTGTACCAACCGGAGTCAAAGCTGAAGCGAGCTTCTTCGTACCTTTACAACACGGCAGTTTTTGAAGTAGCTAATGATGGTTATAATTCTTATTCAACTAGGTACTTGGTTTACTGAGCAACTGCCCTTCTTGTTTTACCAATCAATAGTAAAACACCCGGTAGACAAATATCGTGAGGATTAAATAAGCTGGAATAAATGATCGAAGAACTTGACAAAAGAACTTAAATTATCAAAAACGCCTAAAGGACTTTGTCCGGAGCCTTTGATCAACATATGGGAGGACAACGTTGGCAACTATATGGAGCCCAGTAAATGGCATAGCCAAAGTATTCAACAAACTTAAGTGATGGGTTAATTTGGAAAAAATGAGCTTACGAAGCTCTGTAGCCCGTTTTCAAGTACCATCCTTGGAACATTGAGGTCAGGTTTTCATTGGTGTCTCTGAACTGTCCACAAAATATTTTAGGTAGCCAATTAAAATGATCAGTTCACTTCGTATTACACTTCATATCACTGAGTCCAGACTAACAAACAAAACACGATGCAGGTATCGTG